GAAGATAAAGTCTTTGCTGTGTTAGTGGCATTTTCGAGCCTGAAACCTGAAAAGCAGGCTCAGGGCTTAAGAGGTTAGTTGTCCTGTGTATGAGCCTTTGTTGTCCAGAAAGATGAGAAGAAAGCTGCTCTATTTTTTTTCTCCTGATTTCACTTCCCTGGAGCGTAAGTTTCATTGAATTTTGAATGCGTAGTTTGGAAATGCTAATCCAAATTACTTTGCTTGAAACCAGTGCGGGTTTCTTTGCATATTAAGCACAAAGGGTTCGATTTGTGGAGGACAAATAAAAATCCTCTGTCCACTTTTCCTGAAATGTTCTATGCTCGTCTTGTACAGCTCGTACCTTTCTTTTTTAGCGGAACTCCTGATGTCTGCCCATAAACCCCATCTCCAGCATCTTTCTCTTGATTTGCGGTTGTTGGATGCTTCAAAGCCAAATCCTCCTTTCCCTCGTTTCTCACGCTTTCTTTCTGTTCACCCGGTTCTTTTCTTATGAGAAATCGATACATTTTTTTATCCAAAAACACTTGCTAAGCATGAAATGGAGAGCTAAGCTATGGCTCCAATTTAAATGCTCCAATTTAGCGATATAAATTGAGAAGTAAATGTCCATATTCATGAGCATGCACATGATAACATATTATTTTTTAGACTATCCCACCATGTATCTACCCGTCCAAGAGCACATTCGCCATGTAGTGCTTGATAGAGCGCCAAAACTGGCAACTCGGCAGTGAGTCAGTGTCGGCGGGCAAGTTTAAATATGTTGTTTCTTGTCTATTTTTGCATCTTTTATCAACTATTATTATATATTATATGTATTATTTGTAGGCTAATAGAGCGAACACGTTCAGTGTTCTAATGGGTTATATGTAAAAGCACTGCTTGTTTTGAATGTTTTTATGTGTATGCACTGTATAATCATATCTATCACCTAGGGATGCTCCGATCGCCAATTTTGGGGCCGATCGCCGGAATCAGTATCGCCCGATACCATACAATGAGAAATCCTGCTCTAGATGATAGGAAAGGACGTTACAAGCTTTCATTCATAATCTCCTTTAGCTCAGGATACACTGGACCATTCTTTTGGAAAGGAAAGGAGAAAATGCTGTCCCACAATACTTTACGGCCGCAAGATTTACCGTGACACAACATTCCCTCATTAACAGAAACAACCCACCATGACCGGGAAACGCGGGTCATGTAAGTTAAGGTGCATATTCAGAATTTAACAACATCTGCCTTAACGTGCAAAAGTTTTGATCGTTAAACATAATATTAAATCAAAAAGGGATTTGAAACACATTTCCACTTTTAAATGTTGACTGAGTTGTGTGGGGTTTCTTGGTGTTATGTGATATACACAGTGATACATGTGTATTCCTAACTAGTTCTGCATATATTACATATATTTGGTATTTGGGTCAAATATTTTTATACGATCATCATTCAAATTTGGACTCATGTGGATTAATACGTGTGGACAAGAGGTTGAGTGCAAAGCAACCATTAAGATTAAATTTCATTTTTTCATTTCAATTCTAACCTTGACCATGAAGAATATATCTCAATGTGGTCCACGTTCATAAAGCCTGTGTAAAACAACTCATAAGAGCTCATTGGAAAAGTATCTACAGTAGATGTGCTTATAGTAGTTGGCTATTGTTTAGTTTTTTCTCACAGCAGGCACACATCATCAAAAAACAAGATGGACGTTTAATATTGTCATATCGATGTTAACAACTTCATGGTTATATTTTATTTTATTTTATTCTAGAAAACGGAACAAGTTTGCATTTGAATGGAGAGTTTTATATATTTACAGGGACTTTTGCAAATGGAATTGCTACACTCACTCCACCCACTGCTAATTAAGAGCATTGTGAGCAGGTGTGGAGAGCCAAAAACCTGGAGCTGATCTCCACAACTAGTTAGAAAAAGGCAACTGAGGAGTTAATAGTGGCAGAGAGTAGGAGGCTCTGGCTAAGGTGGACTTTGTTTTGTGCTTTAAAATGTTTGAGTTTGGATAACATAACCCCGTTAAAACAATACATGGTCCTTTGTTTAATTGCTGCATTACCACCTTTCTCTGTCCCATTCTGTTAAACCTTGTAGACACAAGTTATGAATCTAATTCTGGTTTTATGGGGGAAAATCTCAAAAAATCCCTGGCCTGAAGCCGTTAAATCTATGACCAATGCCAGCAAAATTAACACATGTTTGTGAAAAACAATCCTAGACTTGGTAACAGGTTGTTAATTACTCAAGATAAACCTTTCTCTGTTATGAATTTTTTTTTTTACAGTGGTCAAATATACAACATCTAACAGACCTCTATTGAGAACATATTTTTCAAAACAGTTTCCTGTCAGTGAGTTGACAGAATATGTGCATGACATTAGTTGTTATGCATTTACATACACACTTGGAGTCTATTGATACGTCTTGGCAGACTTACTACAGTTTAAAAACAATAACACATTAAACTGTTTCTTTTACCTGTCAGCATTGTGAAGTGAGAAGGGCTGGTAATGGTCACAAAGGGTGGAGTAGCATAGAGTGCCTTCGCCCCATCCTGGGCCATCTTATCCAAGTTAGGGGTTTCAACATCCCTGTCATAGTCCCAGCGGAAGCCGTCGAAGGAGATGAGCAGCAGCTTGTTTCTGGTGGGGTTGGTGGAGCCTTGGTGTGGTGCAGCAGCAAAGGGAGAGCTAGCACCAAGGCAGAGGACAGCAAGGCAGAGCAGCAGCATGACGGAGGACTTTCACCTGAAAATCCACTGGTCAACTGTAACCTTTCTTCAGCAGGGTCAGTTTAGTCTCAGAATATCCATCCGTCTAGTCTTACTGAAATATGACTTGAATTATCTTGAAATGTCCGGACACATTCTAATCAATCCTTGTGGTATTGATTGCAGCCCTTATCAACCTATAATGATATATTTTATACCTTTTTATTAGCAAAGTGCAGTGATATGACAGGGTTAATGTTTGTCTTTGAAGAATAGATATCTGAGAATAATTCTTAAACTTTGACCGTAAACCGGAAAAAGCTGTTCCAGTAAAGTTCCTTTTATGATTGGATTTATTAATTTTTTGACTTGAAACAAATATAAAACTGATTTATTAGAATCTTTAAAATGTTATATTCAACATTCATTACAATTTAAAATTATTCTCAACCTCCTTTCTTCCTTCTTTAAAACTGCTGTTTCCCAAGGTAGAGGCTTTCAATTGAAACAATGTCTGTATTTTTCAACACCCAACACAATTACAGACAGCCAAAGAGTAGACATACAGTACACAAATGCATTACAGTTAATGCCTCCAATATTTGGCACTTAAGTCCTTAGTCTCTCTGTTATTAAGTAGAGTTTGAACAAATATGCATTAAACACACACATGATTTGGTATAGCAAGTGTTCTTTTAATTTGTGAGTTTGTAGCTGAATTCAACTAATGTGAAAATATTTGTGAAAATATTGGCTCCAATAGAGGACAACATAAATGTTTTATTCACACCTAAAACAATGGAAGTATGACAGCTTCCACTTTAAACTGTATTTCCTTTTTGCCACGTAAGGAAAACTACTACCAAGCCGAATGTATCTTCCTTATTTACAGCTCTATACTATATGACTTCATAATAAAACGGGCTAAAACACCTTGTAAAAATACAACATGTATACTAATAAAAAACAAACACGGAGTAATAATAAGGATACTATTTTGAAGAAGACAGGAGGGTCATGTCTCAAGGCAGAATAATGCTATCACAATCACCAGAGAATAGGTTCGGATCATCATTCAATCATAGGATTTTAATTGTATGGTAATTTACTGTATTAATAAAAGGATAAAATAAGAACCACACAAATGTACATTTATATTTGTAATATAAGGTGTTAACTGTAGCTTTTGGCCAAGATGATGTTAAAAAAAAGGATAAAGCCATCATAAAGAATTCACAATGAATGAAAGTCGACGGCAAAGCACTCAAAAAGGCTAAACTTAAAACATTTCTCTATATTTCTAATCTGCATTTTTATTGTGATCCCCATTCAAATATACACAGTGACAGTCTTGGGATAGATTTGCTATATTTTGTCATTCATGAAAAAATTGTAAAAAGTTCTTCCATCAAATCAAGTACATGTCATCCACTCCATGGTAATATTTAGTGACGATTACCTTTGATAGAGAAGTGCTTCTGTCATTAATGGAAGGATGTGGATTGAATAAGAAAGAATATTAGAAAAAAACAAAATCAGTCTTAATTTTTAAAAACTCCTCTGCTTGATGTCTGTCTTTTCTTCCCCAATGTACCCAGCTGCATGTTCCATGTTGAAACTGAGAAAGAAAGAAAAGACCACAGAGAGGTGGAGTGAGAGATAACATGGAATAAGGAATGTCTGCAATCTGAAAAGGATGTAAAATGTGTCTGTACAGAGTGTTTAATCCGTAATATGATTAACCTGACAAGTTGAATACACATTGTCAAGTTGCATCGTTATAAGGAATAAGGGGGACTTGGCCAGGAGAGGGCAACAAGTAAATTATAATGCATTTTCATGGTATAATGACAGCATGTTACCTCCTTTCTACTCGATTCCTTTTACACCCAGCATAGGAAGTGGTCATTATGAACACCAGTGCGAGAAAAACGGTCACTGCAGATAAACCGACAACCACTTGAGACAGGGCATTCAGTTCTTGATGTGGAGACAGAGAGCAAAAATATTGTTTTAAAAAAAGTTAACCATCTTGAAAAAACACACTAAAACACAGACAAGGTGTTGTGCAAGTGCAGACTTGGAGAGCTAGCTCAAAGGTCAGTTATCAGAGATTAAAATGGACAAGTCCACAGTCATAGTTTCACAATTGAACTAATAATTGAATGTGGTTCTTACCTCCATAAATAAACTAGTTCACTTTCATTTCTTCTTTGTATTTATTTCAAAGCGGTCAAATGCCTTCACCCAATGTACAGGTTCAAATTTGTTGACCAAGTGGCTGACGTTCCTATTTGTTTCAAGGCAAGGAGGGACAGTTTGCACTAAAACGTGAGATTGGTGCCATTGGAATATTCCCTACTTATCTCCTTCACATATTTATTGATCTGGATTTTGCACTTTCACAAGCTGTGTGTTCTTGATTGCAGTTTTACGAACCATGCCAACAGGTTTCCATAGCCCTAACCCTTCAGTGGTTGTGTACAGATACATTCAGTGTCACATAAGTAGTCGAAATGCACTCTCATAGTTCATTCAATCAACACTGGGGAGGATCATTCAAAGAACAAACACAAACGGAGAAGATACAATCCCTCTCTGTTTGTGTTTGTTCTATGAATGTCAGAAAGGGTCAGTTTTTCAAGATTTTTAATGTAAAAATAAAAAGTATTCCATAATTTAATACAACATTTTTATTTACTAATAAGTATTTTCATTACATCTGAGTGATAATGCCATGACCCGGTCAATATGGTCACCCAAGGGCTATCATGATGAACATTAGCATCTCTTATTCATCTGTAGCTTATCTTGTGTTGTACAGTACATAGCTGCTCTATCTGCTATCGTAATCTTATTGGTGATGATTTACAGTGTCAGGTCAAGTCAAAAGTCCATCATATGGCTATCATCTGTTCCTTATCAGTTTGTTACTGAAAGTCATTATGTGTAGAGATTATGGGATCAAATGTCTTTAAAATGATTTTGATGATATTGTTTTTCTAGAGAAATTAGACAACAGTTCAAATTGATGTCATCTTTTTTCATGTTGATCTCTACTATAGATGTAATACTGCTTCTGTGATGCAGTACTGCGTGTGCTCCATCTTACTTTGTAAAATAAAAATGGCAAGTGCAGTGAAACTTTTAGTTATTATTATTTAAGATATTTTAAAGACCTGCCTGACCCATGGCCACCAAGTGCAGTTCATATATGCAGTGTGGGGGACCGCTGCTCTGCTCAAGGGCACCTTGGCAGTGCCCAGGTGGTGAACTGGCAACGCTCAAAGTACTAGTCCACACTCTGTACTTGGTCCGTTTGGGGACTTAAACCCAGCCCAAGTTCCCAGCCAGTTACCAGGCCTACTTACTGGCACACCCAACAGCACATTCCATAAAACAATTGCAACAAGTGAAATATGAGATCTGATAGTCCTTAATCCTTTTTATTATCTTCCATGCTTATAAAATAATCTGATTTAAGGTGTCTCTGTAGCTTGCACTAAGATGAGAGTACAACAAATGAAAAGCAAAGTGCATGTTAGAGAAATGACAAACAGATTCTGACTGTTAACTACTTTTTGGAGTCAGTAGAGAACAGAGATAAGGATGCAGTTGGTTTTATATGGCTTTCATAAAAAATGTACCAATGTTGCATTGGATGGAAGACGAACTGCAATGATGAGTGCAGAAACACGAAACAGACCAACTGTATTACAGGATCGATCTTTCATTTTCATAGTAACTGTAACACCTGGTATAATGTTTAAAACACCTCTTGTCTTCTAGAAAAACTGTTTCCCTTTATTATTAACAATCAGATCTACACCAAATTGTTTCTTTGGGATAAGAGCTTGCTCATCTTGAACTGAGCTGTTCCATTACATGTAATTAAAAAATGTATCTACCTGTATTATTGTCTTGTAATGTCTTCATACATGCAACACAATAAACCTGACACTCCAAGCTGATATAGTGTAGTGTTTTCCATTGACTATCTCAAAAATGTAGCACTGTTTAGTTGTTTTGTTGTTGCTAAAAGAAACACACTATTTTAGTTTTTTGGCCAACCAGTGGGGGAATTACACCAGTGACCTCTGTTCTTTCAAAATGATTACTGTTAGGGTGACGAAAAGTCAGTTAGAAACATGTTTGATGGCGTGACGGCCTGCACCAAAAGGGACACCATCGTGAATCTTGCGCAGTGTGTGTTGCATAGAAAGACGTTTTGAAACTCATTGTCATCTCAAGTCAGCAGCAAAGCCACCAATTTGTAGGGTCAGTTAAGAGCAACATACCTTGATTTGAGGAAGAGACCATCATGGTTAGATGCTGATCAGTAAGTTTCACAAGCAAAATGTGAGATAAACCAAAAAGTTATTGATATCTAGAATGTCAAACCACAACGTTTCTTACTGTTTTTTTTGTTGGGGACCATCATGTCTTTGGTATTGTCCAGGTGTCCATCATTGACTTCTGGGTTTATCCCCAGTAGATGGCACATCAGTGGGTACACATCGACTGTCTCAAAAGACCGGAACACCACGTTTGTCTTGAAATCAGGTCCCACCACCCTGAAAAAAGGCTTCATGTCCATCACTTGATTGTCAAAGCCATGTTCTCCTTTGTGGAACTGCACAGGGAAAAACTGTATGGAGAAAGACAAGAACATTATATAGTACATTTTGATATTCTTACTATCTGAAATAGTAAGAATATGTGGAAGTAGGCCTTGGAATGAGCAAGACTTATCTAATGACAGCATGGTGACAGTGAATAGGTTCTCAGCTCTCTTACCCCATTGATTACATATCCAGGATCAGCAAAGAGGATGATGGGCAAGAGCCGAGGATGGTTACCGTAGTGCAGTCTAGCTGGCATCTCCTCCTTTTTGTACACATGAAGGTGAGGGTGGCTTCCTTTCAGAGCCTGGTAGACCTTCTCCAGCATCCCCTCTTTAGGAAGCAGCATCCCAGCAGGACCATAATCCACCAGGTGGAATTTGACATCTTTGAAGCTGAATCCAGGGATCTTAGAGAGGGTGATCTCCTCAAAGGTTCCACCTCTTAAAACTGTAGTCATCCCGTGGTCGGCAGTGATGATAATGTTGAGCCGGTCAGTAAGGCCATGTTCTTGGATTTTGTCCCGGATGTAGCCCACTGTACGGTCTACTTGCTGGACCATCTCACGGCGTTCTGGAGAATTTGGTCCATATTTGTGCCCAATCAAATCTGGTTCTCCGAAGTACAAGGAGACAAAATCCAGATCCTGTTGGTGGAACCATTCTCAGAATGGTTCCACCAACAGGATCTGGATTTTGTCTCCTTGTACTTCGGAGAACCAGATTTGATTGGGCACAAATATGGACCAAATTCTCCAGAACGCCGNACAATTTTTAACAACAGAGGGTGCTACATAACACACTTTCAGGAAAAGTCACGGACTGGGAGACTTTAATATGTTATTGAAAAAAAGTTACATACAATCAAAAAACAGCTGCGTGTAAAATGTACCCGTTGGCGGTTCTAGTGTTAAACTCCGCACCCCGCTCCGCACACGGAGCTCTGATTGGTCAGCAGGCAGTGCTTTCACTGAGTTGATCTCTTAGCCTGCAACCTAACCTGGTCGGGACCAGGTTAGCCGCTAATCATAAATTACCATGGAGATCTAGCCTGCTAAAAAGAGAACCAGCTTCGTAGGCCCGGAAAGCCGGAGTTTTCCCTGAATTTAGCCGGCTAAGCGAAAATCCTGCTTCGTAGTATACCCCCCAGGTTTGTGTCAGTTGTTGTTTGGAAACTTGACTAATTGGAAAAAATGTACACTGCAACATCATCTTTGTCCTGCATATCACGTTATTTCCTTGTCTAACAAAATCATATGAAAAAAACATTCAGATTATACTCTTTGCAAGTCCATTTACAATCTAAATGTGTTCATATATTTTTTAAATACCCAGAGTTTAATGTCTTGTTTTTTATTGTATCCTTCTTCTTTTTCATGTATTTGTGTACAGTCTGCCAGGATCTCGACACAAACTGATGAACCCAAATGCACGACCCAGAGACAAAGTCTTGAATATAAAAAAAATGTATATTTATGTATACAGTTCAGGTAATCCCTTTTAATAGAGTAGGTGGTGGAAATTAAAGGCGCTCACAAGGAGGAAAAAACAAACGTAACAAAAAGAGGACGTAATAAAAACTTAAGCCTAACAAAATAAACAAACATAACAAAACCTGACATGAGAGAAAGCAATCCTTTCTTTGCAGAGGCTTGGCAGGACCATTCGGGGAAACAAACAAGACAAACTGACACAGGACAGAGACAGGACTATTTAAACATGAGGTGAGTGGGAACAGGTGGAAACAATCAGGGGCGGGGCAGACACTGATGATGTTGGGAAATACACACAGGGGGAGGAAGAAAACAGGGCCTGAAATGAAAGACAAGAGGTAAGTACAAAATAAAACAGGATATGACAGACAAAATACATAAACAAAACTAACACATTTGACTAGACACAACACAGTGTTTACTTATTCATGCATTTTACTTGCACTTTATGTTATTTAAATTTCTTTCACCTTTTTTTATTTATTTTGTCATTTATGCCTTAGGTTTATTGTATATTGCATTGTTGAAGGAGCATGGGACTTCAAATGTATTTTCATTGCCAAAACTATGGTGAAGCTATTGTGGATCTGTGAATCTTGAATAACCTGAAATACAGAAATGTTGGTGTGTGAACAAACAGTGAACAAAAGGCAATATGTATAATGCCATCCTGTCCAGACCAGATTAACTGAACCTGAGGTCTGAGAGCACATTCAAATCAGGATTAGTGAAACAGTTTGGTGCATGTGATCCATTGTAGTGACCCTCTGCTGTTTACTGTAGTCATAAACCTACAACCCAAGACAGTATATGTTGATGTGATTTATTTATGAGTTGATAAGATAAGATAAGATGGTTTATCTTATGGGTGGAGGACACCTCTTCTTTTGTCAGATTTTCTTCAGATCAGATGCTCAGGTAATAGAACCATATAGATTCCAATGTTCAAAACCGTTTGTAAACAGATCACAGAGAAAAGGTTAAAAAGGCAGGCACGTTCAGGCAGATAACCAGAAGTGTGGTGCAGTGTGTGAGTCCTCTGTAATGCTGCTGATCTGCCTCGCTGTGCTCGGCCTCACTGGCAGCTCTCTGTCTGCTGCTATCCCACCACCAGACGCTACAGTATCCAGAAACAAGCTGCTGCTCGTCTCCTTCGATGGTTTCCGCTGGGACTATGACCAAGACGTGGACACCCCGAAATTGGATAAGATGGCCTGGGACGGGGTGAGGGCGGAATACGTCACCCCACCCTTCCTCACCATCACCAGCCCAGCACACTTCACCCTGCTTACAGGTATTCTGAAAATCATCTCAAATTATTAACCTTGTTGATAGGATGTTTAATTCACTTTTTTCAGAAGATATTAACAATCAAATATATGAGAGGGTAATGGATACACGACATCTTCGGTATCAAAATTAAATTGGCTGTTGTATCCCCCTCTAAATTTAAAAAACCTCCACAGATTTAGATCATCAGGAAACTGCATGCATGCAGCATGTGTTATTTTGTTTGTTAAATATTCATAAGATTTATGGATACCCAACATCACAAAAAATAGATTGAATAGAGTTATGGTTCAGATCATGAGGAGACTGTGGCTGCAAGGGGGTGTGGTCGCTTTCGACCAGAAGGTTGCGGGTTTGATACCAGCCCGTTTAGTCAACAAGTCGACGTATCCTTGGTCAAGATACTGAACCCTGAGTTGCTCCCGATGGCCAACGGTGTTTGAATGTGTATGAATGTTAGCTTTCATAGAGCAAGTGGCACTGCTCTGTATGAGTGAATGACTTGTATGTATGTAAAGCGCTATGAGGGGTCGAACAGACCTAATAAAGTGCTATTGAAGTGAAGTCCATATAGCCCTGCGTTGTAATATGAGATATTTTTTGAGTTAGTGTATAAGTTTGCTTACATTTTGGTAGAGCCCCCCCTGGAGAAAAATGCACCAGCCACCACTGGTACCATCATATAAATGAATAATCTATAATAGGATCTAAATGTTATTTTCCTTGGCTTGCTTCTCTTCATCTTGCTCTTTCATATGTATTTCCTCTTTCCAACAGGACGTTATGTTGAGAATCATGGAGTAATCCACAACATGTGGTTCAACACTACCACTCAGGAGAAGAAGCAGTACTACCAAACTCAGTTTGTTGATTCCTACTGGGACAACGGCAGCTTACCCATCTGGATAACCGCACAGAGACAGGTAATTCAGTTCCATCTCTTTTCTACCTGCATATCTCAAAGGCTACTTGTCATCCTGGTTTTTATATCTTCAGCTTCATGTGTAATTTTTTGAGGAGCTCCTTCTTCTAGGTAACTGTGTTTTTGTATTCTTCCAGGGTCTAAAAGCAGGTTCTCTGCATTTCCCTGGAACAGCAGGCACCTACAGAGGGGAGACTGTGAGGGTTAGTCAAGTGGAACCTTTTCTCTATGATCCTATGATCATTCAAATGAGACCGATTGGAGGCTGAACATTGACAAGGTGATTGGAGAATGGTTCCACCAACAGGATCTGGACTTTGTCTCCTTGTACTTCGGAGAACCAGATTTGATTGGGCACGAATTTGGACCAGATTCCCCAGAACGCCGTGAGATGATCCAGCAAGTAGACCGTACAGTGGGCTACATCCGGGACAAGGTCCAAGAACATGGCCTTACTGAACGGCTCAACATTATCATCACTGCCGACCACGGGATGACGACAATTCTACGGGATGGACAAGTTAATAAGATTATCCTCTCTAAAATCCCTGGCTTCAGTTTCAAGGATATCCAGTTCCAACTGTTGGATTATGGTCCTCTTGGGATGCTGCTTCCTAAAGAGGGGATGCTGGAGAAGGTCTACAAGGCTCTGAAAGGAAGTCACCCTCACCTTCATGTGTATAAAAAGGAGGAGATGCCAGCTAGACTGCACTACGGTAACCATCCTCGACTTCTGCCGATCATTCTCGTCGCTGACCCTGGATACGTTGTCAATGGGGTGAGGAAATGCAGAATTGTGTGCATTAGGCCTAAAATCCATAGGTCACTAACATGCTGACTGGGGTCCGAATAGGGACCCAGACGCAGGTCTATACGGACCCGGAACTATAATCAATAAATTATTAAGGGATTTTTAATGTTGTCGGGCGCTTCTATTTCAACCAACGCAGACGAAGACACAAGTGAGCAACAAACAGGGAGAAAAACACAGATAGAGAGACAAGTTAGCGATACAGGGAGAGAAACACAGACGGAGAGAAGAGTGAGCGATACAGGGAGAGAGAAATAAGTACACATTAATGAAAAGATAAAAGTGGACAGTGAAAACAGAGCTTTTTAGAGGAAACATACCCACTCAAGTCTGAACTGAGGTCACTGAAAATAAGCAGTCTCAGAGCCCAATATAATAAATTCACCAGGATCTTGACCCATTCATTCACTGCCCAACAACGCGCTAATGAGTGCTCCCTCAGAGGACACAAAAACATTTACTCATGGAGGGGCTGTCAATGAGTGCATGAGTGCAGTAGCTGAAACCTTACTTGAGGGAAAACAAAAAGAAGAGCTTTTTGACAAAATAAAGCAAATACCTATGTCAGCATCATCAGCCACAAAGAAAAGTGAAATACTAACATGCAGACGTTGATACAGGTAATAGGCTACTTCAATATATATACACACCTATTCATAACGCAAGTTAGACATGATGATATTGCGGACCTTTGCTTGAGGCAAATTTTCTCTGAATGGACCTCTTTCAATTTTTGTTGAATACCCCTGCTATATTAAGTGGGTCCAGAGTTCAACAGTGTATTTAATCTTTCTGTGCTAGAAGGATTAAACTTTACTATTTTAAAGAAAGTCAATGAAAGTTATTATATGACTATGTTTCTTATGGAATGTGTGATTTCTCTGTCCATCTAGTTTTTACCTCTGCACTACGTCAAAGGAGACCACGGCTTTGATAATGAAGCCATGGAAATGAAAGCCTTGTTCAGGGTGGTGGGGCCTGACTTTCAGAAAAACAGGGTGGTAGATCCCATCGACCTGGTTGACGTGTACGCTCTGATGTGCCATCTACTGGGGATAAACCCGGAGATCAATGATGGACACCTGGACAATACCAAACACATGCTGGTTAACACAGGAGGAGACAACAACAGTAATATGTATACTTATATTCACTTATATAGATATATTAATATTTATGCAACTCTAAACATTAATATTTTTACTGTATCATTTACTTAGTCCATTATCTAACTTGTGATAATTACTTTGATAATCAACCTATACAGTCTATGTGGCACAATAATGTAGGAACTATTTTATGTAGAGGAACAACCCCAAAAAGTCCAATAGAACATTTTCTATTGGACCAAAATCCAATTTATCCGTTACCCTGTCCATTGCTCCGAAGGCCCATTGCTCTGAAAATACACACATGTTGAATTATTTTGCAGAATGGCGGCATGACCAACCTTAATCTTGCTTTTGATTGGCTTACTATGATATTCTTACCCTTACCCAAAGACTTTCCCTTACCATAAACTCTCTCACTCCTCATGCGTAAGCATTAACAATCAGACTAACAAAGGAAATACACTGAGTATTTTCAGACTATTCGAATAATGGACCATCGGAAAAATGTCCAATTCCTTATAGTTTGGCTACACTTTTGTACAGTGGGAGGAAGGAACTAGAGACGTGTTGTGTATTTTTATATAGCAGCATGGTTTACAATATAGATTATAAGATGCTCTGGAAAAGCTAGTAGGTGGACCCTGTCATGTCTAAGAAACTTATAGTGAAAGTTTATTCTTTATGTTAGTTTTGTCATGTCCCTTTGTCCTGTGCTTTATGTTTATTCCCTTAATTAATTCTCCCTCTCATTTCAGGCCTCCACGCTCCCCGCCCCCTTCTGTCTCCTGCGTCCTTAATTATTTTCCCCGCCCTGATGGTTTCCACCTGTGTCCCCTTTACCTGTGTATATATTGTGTTAGCTCCCTCCTGTTCATTGTCAGTTTGTTGTCTCTCTATGACCTACATTCCTGCTTACCTCACGGACTTCTCACGGATCTATGTTACTGATCACTGTTATAGTTTTCGTCGAAAGAGTGTTTTTGTTTTCCTTGTTTTCATTACTGTGCAAATCCCAGTAAAGTCCTTATTTTGAAACGCTATCCGAGTCTGAGTTTTGAGTCGTGCAATTGAGTTCATGCCTCAGAGTTCACTCCTTGACAGGAGGCAAGAGCAAGCAGAAAAGCGTCTGCACTGTATTGGGTTCAGAATTCCAGAAAAGACAGACAACTTCTAAGTTTAACTATTTATTGTAAAGAGAGCAAAATATATATATTACTTGGCCAAGGACTCATCACGTCTTTGGGAATCACAGGCAGCTAAACTGTAATCTGTAACCACCAAATCCGTCAAGAGCCTCGAACCTCGTGCGACAATACATTTTATTACACAGGGCGTTGACCATACATTTATGATTGGTCAAGACTAGCTGAAGAGATACCGCGGTTTAGACTTGGTTCTCTTTGGTTGGTGCGCAGACTCAGATAGAGTCTCTTGGCAACACGATCCTCCAATCAGCATTCGGCCGGCCTGTGGTAGTCCCTCCCTACTCTGGCACCATCATACTCATTTGTTTTCTCTAACGTTTCTTCAGATATAGTGGGAAACCATAATGTTGCTTCCTAGCTTTGCGGGGGAGCATGGCTCCCATACAAAGTGAAGGCCGGTTCAATGTGCTGTTCTGACTACCTCTTTGTGTTCTCTCAGTCTCTGCACTCGACCTTGCTACTTTCAATATTGCAAGCTAAACTTTCTTCTGACTATTCCCCTCGTTGGTATCTAACCCATCAGAACCTGGTATTAGTGATTGTGTCTATTTATTCTATAGTCATAGCAATCGCATGAGCACAATAAGCATATAATGTAATAATAAGAATCAGTCTTGTAATGTTATATAAAAATAGACTCCACACTTAGAAAGATGACATGT